ATACTGTATTTATACTTCTCATCCAACCACAATTAAATTCACACTATCCAGGAGACACAATTTATCAGGATAGTATTTTTTAAGTAATTACTCGGAATAAAATAGGAGTAACAACTTTCTACTTCTTACCTTTTTAAAAAATGTAGTGAGTAGAAAGTACAGATAACTGTAAAAATGTAATGAGTAAAAGTAAAATGTACGCTGAAAAATAATTACTCAAGTAAAGTACAGATACCAAAAAATTCTACTTAAGTACAGTAACAAAGTATTTGTACTTAGTTACTTTACAACTCTGTATTTTTGATTTTTAAATCCAGAGTAGTTTTTTATTTATTTATACAAGATGTACCCCCTAATAACACCTTGGCCACCCTCACAAGAACATCTAGCTCCGCCCCTGAAACTCACCTAAATTAGCGTATGAAGGCGCCTTGTTGCCAGACCCGCACCAGAGGGTCCCAGGTACAATGAAGCCCCTCTTCACGCGTGGATGGAGCTCTCCTCCTGCCTCTCTCACAGGTCTCCTCCCTGTGCGCTCTGGAGAGCCCAGAGACACGCACTGTCCCGCGTCAAACACGGACTCCAAACTAACTGTGTTACTTGGATCAGGGGAAAAGTCCTGTGCGCGCTCCCGACACACGGACGCGTAGCTCCGGATCACCGCTGCGTCCTCGCTCCAGGTGCAGCCGAGCAGGACGCGTCCGGACCCGGACCCCGAGCCGGACCAGGAGGTGTGGTACAGGCGCACAGAGGCAGAGCTGTGCCGGGGCTCGCCCCGGAGGAAACTGTAGTGGACTCTGTCATCTGCTAGGACTTTAGTCCACGAGCAGAAGATGGAGGCGCGTGCGTTGGCGCAGCTCAGGAGTGACCATAATAAAATGAGAGGAAGAAAAGCGGCCGTGCGTAACATCCTGGCGTCACTGAGTCCTGCTTCAGATGAGACAATAATACCACCATACTCCTGACCGGGATTAAATAGGAGGAGGAGGGAGCTTTGCTGGATTAACTGGAAATACAGACGAGCCACGTGACCTACATCCACAACATTACTGACCTCAGCAGAGTTTTATTAAAGTCACATCTGACCATTGATCTGTTTCAAACATGCTCTGAGCTCATCACAGAGAAATAAATTCACTAAACTGACAGAAAACACTTGATTCTAATTCTGTTGTTTTATCAGAGGAGTAGTAGGCCTACTGCCTTTGTTTTATCAAGCTTTTTACTTTTATTTCATTACATTCAAAACTGAACAATTATACTTAATTACTATAAAATGTGTGTGCTGCCGTTTGTAAAGTTACACAGTCAAAAATTACCACCAATATTTTAGTTTTATTTAGACTTTTATAAGAAAAAAAGAACAGATTTATTTTTCAAAGTCAGTTTTTCACCATATGATTCATACATTTATAAA